GATACTATTGATTCACTGTACTGACGTTATGCAAGTGATATACTGAGTAAGTGACATGTGATTCACTGCACACGTGACATAGATTATTGGATTGCATGTGATGCACTGAGCACGTGATATGGGGTAACTGAATTGCAAATGTACATTTTGATACGATTTTACGGCATTGATTGATTCTAACTGTTTTAAATGTTATTATGATTTATTGCCTGATTTGACTGATTTCTATAGAGATTGACGTACGCACGAATTTATTGAGCTTTATGGACCTTTGAACTGTTTATTGATTCTTCTACTGTGGATTTAGGAGTTTACTGTTTCTTATTGTTACTGTACTGATTAATGTTCATGCATTAATTTTCGTTATCTGTATTGATACTATTTATGTACTGATTTTTGTATCTGCATTGAATTAATGATCATGTGGAACTGACTGCTATGATTTGACTGATTGACATGCATATTGCTGCCGTATTGTGCTTTGATTTCAGTTATAGGTATTAGGTGACCTGCTGGGTTTTTTGAAGCTCATTATATGTGGTTAATATTTTCAGGCCAGGGCAAGGGAGCAGGAGATTGAGGTTGATCAGTAATCCTCAGGTTTTATTTTTTTTTATTATAGTGATTCTTTTGTACTCAGGACAGGATAGATTTCATTTCATGTGATCCTTGTGCAGATCCTGAGTATTGTATATGATCTTTGGAGATATGAATAGAATTGTATATTGATGTTTTAAATTATAGAATTCTGTTGGACTGTTTGTTACTGATTGAAGACTATTGATAACTCTGGTAAGATTTCTAAATGGATAGATTGAATAATTCTTTCCAAGTTAGATCTTGGAGCGTGACACTACAAGTGCTATAGATATAGGTATTGGCACCTTCTTCAATGATGCAAAAAGTTTCAAGAATGCTCTCTGATCAGTTGCCATAAAGGAGAACTTTGGGGTTCAGATAAAAGCCAGCGATAAGAAACGTGTGATTGCGACTTGTTCCTATCAAGGTTGTGAATGGAGAATTCGAGCCTCTTTATGTGAAGACACTCAATCTTTCGAAGTTAGGAGACTAGATGGAGTACACACATGTCCTGAAATAAATCGAGCTGGGAATAGGCAGGCAACATCTGCTTGGGTTGCCAACGAGATACAGGAGATGGTAAAGAGGAACCCAGATATCCCACCAAAAGATATAAATAGTAGTCTAGAAAAAGAGTTTGGCTTATCCTTACCTTATATGAAGCTTTGGAGGGCAAGAGAGGAAGCCCATGATGCTTTATTTGGTTCAGTTGATGACAACTACTAATGGGTTCCAACATTGGCAGCAGAACTCCTTCATAGAAATCCAGGATCACATATAACATATGCATTTAATAGTGGAGATCATTCATTCCAAAGGTTTTATGTTAGTTTTAAGGTATGTGCTGACGGTTTTCTAGCTGGGTGTAGACCACTTATCAGTTTGGATGCATGCCATCTTAAGTCTAAGTACCTAGGTGTGTTGTTATCGGCTAACGCCCTAGACGGGAATAATGGCTTATTCACTTTAGCATTTGCTGTGATGGAGACTGAGTCCAAAGGAACATGGTCATGGTTTCTCCAAAATTTGGGAGAAACAATTGGTCTTTCTTTATATCCTCTGTGTTTTATTTCAGATATGGAGAAGGGTTTGGGAGAGGCTGTAAAAGATGTATATCCTGAAGCTGAACATAGAATTTGTATTCGTCATTTGTGGAAGAACATTAAAAAAAAATTTCACTGTAAAGATGGCCAAAAAGTGCATGGACTTGTCTGGGAGGCCGCTAATGCTTACACAAATACAGAGTTCAATGAGAAGCTAGTAGAACTATGTCATTTGAGCCATGCAGTTTACTCGTATCTTATTTCATTACCATATAAGTGGTCAAGGAGTCAGTTTATGATTGGGATATGTCATTCTGCAAATACCAACAATTTTGCCGAGTCATTTAACTCATGGGTTAATGATGCTAGAACTAAACCTGCCGTGGACCTCATCGATTTGATCCGGGGAAAGCTTATGGTACAAAGAGCTCATCGAAGGATGAGTAGCTTGAGTTGGCAACATGAGTTAGTCCCAAATGTGGAGGAATATATTAGAAACATCACAATGCGGAAAGATCATTTTGTTGTTCGGCAATCTAGCCTTTTCACGGTTGAGGTGGAGGGACTTCATTCAAGACATATTGTCGATATTGAACAAAGAATCTGCAGTTGCAGAGTGTGGCAGTTAATTGGTTTACCTTGCATTCACGCTGTGGCTTATGGGGCATCATAGGAGTACTTGCAAAAATCCATTGCAAAATAATAATAACAAGGACAATTTGCGTACAGATGTTGGACGAAGAAGTCGGACAAAGTTGCCAAGCAGACGGAATGGAGAGGATCATCAACTTGAAGATTTCGAGTTCTCATATGTGACTGGATTTTAGGATTAATAGCATTGACTGTTATGACTTTTTGAGCTAGTAGGAAGCAGCTGTATTTTTTTTGAGCTAGTAGAAAGCAGCTGTAACTTTGTTTGAAGATGTCACTGTTATAATTTTTTTGGGCTAGCAGTATCAACAACTTGAAAGTATTGACTGTTATGACTTTGCCATTTTCTTGATTCAAAGAAATTTGAAATCTGCACGTTCAATTTTGAAATCTGCACGTTCAATTTTTTTGAGCTACTTTGCCATTCTGTAATCTGACGTGAACTCAAATTTGAGCTACTTTGCCATTCAGAAATCTGTCTATACACTTGCTGCAGGTTTTTTCGAGCTGGAATTATTAATTCATACTCAAATTTGCACGTTATTTCTTCCAGATATTCATAACGAAGAGCTGGAATTATTAATTCATATACAGTTCCTGCAGGTTTTTTGAACTCAAATTTGAGCTACTTTAAGCATGAAGTTAACAATTCCTTGCTGCAGGTTTTTTTGAGCTGAACAAAGATCTACTTGAGATTATCTTCCTTTTTTCTAGTTCAATTAAACTTTGGTTAAAATTATTTCTTACAGCTTCCAGTACAATGACAAACAGGAGAGAATAATGCCTAAATTTATTCAATAATTCAACATAACAACTTACAATACACTTGGACCAACACATCAATAAAAGGTTGCAAAACTAAACATAAAAAAAACAACCTTTTATGCAGTCGGCACAACACGTTACAAACACAAACGGATGGTTACATCAACAACAACAATTACAACGAAGACTTTCATCAAGAACATCATCCATTCAAGCATATTAATAACCTTCACCTCAAACACTTTGCGCTCATCGTCTAGACCAAAAGATGCATCTTCAACTTCATCTATCCATCTGAAGTATCTGCATTCGTCATCAGTTCGGTTATTCACGCACCTATAAATTTTTCTTCCATTATTAGGTCCACGGTGGCAAGTGTACAATACACAATTCAGGTGACAGTGACAATAAACTTCAGATCGTTGGCGTCTATCTCTCGTAGCGGACGAATTCGTAGAACTCATTTGACGTTTTGGAATAAACCAACCTTTTCTGTAACAAAACAGATAAAATTTTTAGGGTAGATAAAACTCATGACATTCTATAACCAAAAAAAAAAAGATTGTGGAAAATACCATTTATGTGGCAAAACAGATAAAACTCATGACATTCAGAAATGTCGTAGATAAAACAGATAAAACATTCTGTAAAAAAAAATTGCGGTAAAACATATAGAAGTTTAAAGCCCAAAACAGATAAAACATTCTGTAAAACAGATATAAGTTTAAAGTCGCTATTACGGTAGAAAAAGGAAAGCAAAATCGAAGATCTACCCAAAGGAGTAAAACCTGATTTTTATCAAAAGAAGTAGAGATACGAAATTACAGAAAAATTGAACCTAACCTAATGGGGACGTATTGGAGTGAAGCAGTCCTAATTACACATCAAGATAATCTAAGTTTCAAGATGAACTGAATAAATAAGAGAAAACATCAGAACAACGAATGTAATCTCCAAACATTCACGATCAGCCGCATCCACAGATATTCAGAACCGTCACGCCCCCCATTGCTCCGACAAACCGGATAACCCATCTCTGCTCCCCGAACTCACCGATTTGCAGCTCAAGAAGGATTTGACGATCGGACTTGATCGGATCCAGACGAATCCGTAAGAAGAGCGGCGAGGATATCTTCCTCTGCTGCCCGAGAGAAAGCTTCGGCGGGTGAAGAATTTTTAGGGCTATTTTTTTGACGGAGTGAGCGATTTTTTTGACGGAGTGGCAGATATGAGGTGAAGTTTGTGTTTGAGTTGTTGTTGTGTAATATTTAAGTTTTAGGTGTTAGATTTATAAAATATAAGGTATAAAGTGGTATGTATGTAAAAACTCCTTAATTTTTACATAGGCTCCTTTTATTGAGGAGATTATTGATTGATTAATTTGCATAATATAAAGCTCATTTTAATATAAATTTATTTTACAAAATAAAGGATTATTGATATTGATGTGATTTAAATGAATAAAATAAAATTATTCTAAATTTAAATTTATAGGCAAAGTACAGCTTTATTTTCAATGTTTTCTATGGGAGCGGAATAGTTGAGGCAGTGTGATGACCATCCGGTCTACATGATTGCTGACAGCCGTCCCATCAATATCAGACGGTCGTGATCTTTTCATCCTCATTTTCTCTTTGATTTCCAATGCTTCCCAGAATAAGATGTATTTATTTAATGGTTGGTTAGCTACAAAGCAGTTAATGAATGGATAAGTTAGGGATGTAAGTGAGGCGAAAGTACGAGTTTGAGTTTAAGCATATACTCGAGCTCGTATATTAAACGAGATTGAACTCGAGCTCAACCTGGCTTGCCTCGAAAGTCCATTGAGCTGCTTGACTAACTTAAAATTTATTTAAAAGTTAATTTAAATTAACATTGTAGAATACATTTTAATATTTTAAATTAATTTTATGTTAAAAATAAAAAAAAAAATTTAAGAAAAATTTGAAAATTTTAATTTAAAACTAAGAAATCTTGCTCAACTAACAAGTCGAGTTCGAGCTTAAGATCATAAATATTTTAATAAGTCGTGTCGAGCTCAGAAAAAACTAAACAAATTTAGCTAGATTAGACAGATACTCGACTCGATTTATTTATACATGTAAGATAGGTTATTCGTATTTGGGAATTGGTTAATGTTTGTATTTAACTCACTAATATTTTATACCGTTTAATTTTTATATTTACTATAAATCAAACTCATCATGAAAATCAATTCACGTGAATAAGCGTTTCTCTTCATTGTTGTGCTCAAGATTATGCTTTTTCATTATGAGATGTTACCCTAGGCTGTCGATGTCAAATAAAGATGTAAATACAAAAAATGTGGCATTATATACTAATATGATAGCAAAAATGGGATTGATAATCTGAAACGTATATGCAAGTTTGCAAGAAGAGAAACGCTCATGACATAGGGCGGTTAATTTTACAGTCAACTTCTAACTCACCTACTTCCTTAGCATATAACAAGTTTGACCACTAGAGTTTCGTGATCTACCACGATTTTCATCATTATGCATGATCTATCTTTTCAGTGTGTAGAATGGATCGACGAACGTGTAGTACTACATTATCTCCACCCCGACTTTTTTAGTGCGTAGAAATACAGCTAGAAGTCACTGTAAGAAGTTGTTCATTAGGGAGAAAAGAAATATCCAGTCATAATTATCTAGATGTACTAGTAGAGTTAGTTTGACTTCCAACCTATAGACTTCTATGAATACATATGTTTTTATTTGTTTGACAACTCAATTTTATTAATAAATTGGTGACTCTAAAAGAAGATAATTAATTTTTGTTTTATGCCTCTTCCACATGACTGAATTGTATTATTTGAAAGCTTTAGTCTTTTTTAAATGCATGGAAGGTTGAGCAAACTTTCTTTATCACTTTGGACAATACTTATGCTAATACTGTGTGGGTTGACTTCTTAATAAATCATTTGAACTTGAGGGGGTGGAGGTTGTTATGCAATGGTGAGTTTCTCCATATATGACGTTTTACGAACATCGTTAACCTCATTGTGCAGGAAGACATGAAGGAGATTGATATTTCTATAGTATAGATTAGGGAGAGCATTAAGTATGTAAAAGGATCACATGTAAGAAAACAAAAATTTTATGAATGTGCAAAACAAAGTTGTTTGGATACAAAGAGAGGATTGAGGGAAGAAGTTCCCACTCAATGGAACTCAACATTTATCATGCTTGATGCAACTATTTATTATCAACGTGCTTTCTTTCATTTAAAACTTGTTGATAGTAATTACAAAGTTTGTCCTAGTAGTATTGAATGGGACAAATTAGAAAATATTTGTAAATTTTTAGCCCCTTTCTACGAGATAACTTGTGTTTTCTTAGGCACAAGCTATCCAATTGCAAATCTTTATTTCCCTTGTGTTTCTACGGCATACACATAACAAAAATTTAAAAAGTCTAGCGGGCTTGAATACATTAGCATAATGGCAACTAGCATGCTTACTAAATTTGATAAGTAATGGGTTGATTTTTTACATCTTTTGAATATTGTTGTCATTCTTGATCCTAGATACCAATTAAGTTTCATAGAGTGGTGCTATAAACAGTTATATGGTGGTAATTACATTGTTGAGACAATGAAGGTTAGGGAAAAATTATTTGAATTATTTGCTAACTACACAAGTCATGAAGAATATTATGCAGAGGGAATGTTTTTATTGCACATGCAAAGTTCTCATAATCAAGTTTCATGTAGCAATTCTAACACGTTAATTAAATTGCAGTTCTACATGTAGCTTGTCCGCCAGAAATACTGACGGATCTTACGTCGGAGTAGGATGACAAAAAAGGCGTCGAATGCCTTCTATTTTTTCATTGGAAGATCCGCTGGAAATATTTCCGGAGAAAAACATTTGTCGGTGTTGACTTTCTGACGCGTGAATTACCGTCGAAAATGTGACGGAAATGTCGTATTTCCAGCCAATTTTGGTTGTTGCCGGCGGATTCCATCTGCTGGTAATAACGCATTTTCCTGTAGTGAGAGTTATGATGCATTTATTCAATTAACTGTTACATCAAAAGACATATGAAAAAATTAATAAGTAAGATTATATATATAAAAAAATCCAAATTAGAAAAATGAAGTAAATTTTTTTTTTTCTATTGCATGCACAAATTTTAAAGAAAAATGTCCATACAATATTTTTTGCGATCATCCTTGTAAAGTTTATACAAGGATTTCCACACAAGGCTTTTGTTTGTGATTTCACTTAATTTG